ATTCTAACCAAATACTTACGTACTACTTCATCAAGGGATGTAAAATTTAACTGATCCATAAAAAAACATAGACTTCAATTACACTACTAATAAATGTTACTAACAGAATTTGCGCTGATGTTGTTGTCTAGGAAGATAATAAGAGTATCACGCGACTAGAATATCCAGCATAGAGAACACAACACCTTAGAAGTCTTCATGATGAGCTAAAAGATATCGTCTAACATTGTTGATTGAAAGGTGGATATTTACTTAATTATTTTTGCTAGTTCAGTGTCCGTCAGCCAAACACCATCAGCAACAACCTACTGTGGTAGACAATAAACCAGCTTTCAATTGAAAACGAAATAACCAAAAGACGCTGAAGGTGGACAGGATACGACATTGTGGAAATCATCAAACTGCATCACAAAGCAAGTTGACTTAAAATCTTCAAGGCAAAAGGAAAAGAGGGAGACTTCGAAATAATGAGTAGCACTAGGGAATAATTCGAAAGGAGAGCTCAGGACAGATTAGGTTGTAGATTGATTGTCAGCGACCTATACTCCTCCACGAAGGGTAACAGGTGTAAGTAAGTAATCGTTGCGTTTGAAAAGTTCTAGCATCCAATGCACTACGTTCTTCTCTAATATAGTATGTCGAATAGCAAAATACTGGCCTACATGATTATCTTTTAAAGAAGTTTCTAAATTCATAGGACTATCAGCATCTGTTTTCAGCAATTGAATCAACCTTAGGAGTTAAAAGTCTTTGTATGTTTCTGCCTTTGTGTTTAAAGTTCAACTGTAGAGGTTTGTAAGAGTTTAGAAAATAAGCTATCAAAACACTGCCTTAAACATTCAGTGTATCAAACATATAAACTATGTGAAATACAAAACACAAAACATGATCATAGTAGACAAGGTTTCCATTCTTGATATGAGAGATAATTTCTAACGGAGCATAGAATTTATGAATATATAGATGAAGTTTATCTATACAAAAAATACTTGCTTCAGTCAGTCACAAGCAATATAAAAATTAGGAGTAAATCTGCATCAACCCAAGTTGCTAAACAACATCAACACACATTCAGATAAAACTATCAGAAGGGATACAAAAGTAGTAGTATGAGTCATGGTTAGAAAATATTAGGGATAGAGAATACGGTTCGAGAATGAATCAGTGGAAATAAAAGTATAAAATTGTTTTAAAACTCAGGATCTAAGAGTAGACACAATATAAATGGATCTATGTCATTGTCAGCGACTTTGAGTAACTTCATTCAACATCTCTTGCTTACAATGATCGCACTGAACCCGATCAGGTAGTCTGAAACTACAAACACGGCTTAGACCAACGGTCAATGAATTTATGGACTAATGTCACATTTTGTTCGGTTGTCTCCAGTTTTCTTCAGACTTACTCCTATACCAGCCAGCAACGCGTGTCGAGGTAGACAATGGTTGAGGATACGTACACATATCCCAGATATCTCAGTCAATGGAGATTCATAGCATTATCAACCGTTTAGCTGGGTTTTTTTCTAAAGTCCTGCATCTGACTTCAACCTTATCATAGTTGGTGGTCTCGACATGTATGAACAAGGCTTCGACAGTACCTATGTATGTTTTTTTTTACTTTGATAGGCTACACAATTCACAGTCATCATAATAAAACAGAACGAAATACTATTTAGTATACTCCATTCTATTTGTTGGCAATTAGATGGATTTCACAGTTACTAATCTACAATGAACACTAGTTGCTAAGCAAAATTTCTAAATCCATTTGTCAATAATTTGTTTATTCGCAAACTAACTAACTAACTCAATTAAATGAATTTTTCATCGTTTGATTATTGAAATAAACTAATGTGTTAGATTTTAATTTATAGCTGTTATAGACTGATTAATTAGCATATTAAAATAAATTATTATTATTATTTATAAAGTTTGGTTAAAAGTTATCGTCATCTAAGTGGTCTTTATTATGAACTCATAATGTGCTCTGATTATGTAACTTAAAATTTTTAGGTTGTGTGTGTGTGTGTGGATAGGACACACATTGAGGAAAGCACCCAACTACGTCACAAGGCAAGCCTTCACATGGAATCCTCAAGGCCAAAGGAGGAGAGGAAAACCAAAGAACACATTACACCGAGAAAGGGAGACACACAAGAAAAAAAACAAACAAAAATTGGATAGGACTAGAAAGGAAGGCCCAGGACAGAGTGGGTTGGAGAATGATTGTCGGCGGCCTTTGTTCCATTGGGAGTAACGGGCGTAAGTAATTGTGTGTATGTGTGTAGGGTGTAGAGTTTTATGTGAGGTATGTGTGGAAAATTATTAACCTAAGATGTATATTCGTTTATTTGTGGGTTTTTTCTTGTTTAGAGTTATTACAGCATTCCCTTATGCATACTTTGCTTTTATACTTTCTATTCGAAAAATATTCTTCAATGTATTGGATTCTTCTCCGTCATTGTTAGTTGTCTGCTCGTATGGATTAGGTATGGTAATATGGACTAATGAAAATTTGTGTCAGGCTTTACGTGGATTATAACTGATTGACTTACCTAGACTAAGTATGAAATTGAAATACTACTACTACTACTACTACTTATTATTATTATTATTATTATTATTATTATTATTATTATTATTATTATTATTATTATCTTTAACAACAACTAAACGAAGGGAATTGAAGTGATTTTGGTTATATTTATCTAAAACACAAAAGCAATACTATTACCATAAAGATATAACAAATTGGCGCCAGCTACTTATCACGTTGAATATTAGTAGTATAATTACATTTCCATCAATAAAATGGTGTATAAGGCTTAACAGTATGAAAATTAACTACAAAATAGTGAATTAATGAAGTAAGTCAACAAAATAATTGTAAAAGCTTCTATAAGAGACTAGAATTAATGAGGGAAATTTCATGGTTGTTTGGAAAAAAAAGAAACATTACAAATGAGAAGTGACATTTACGTTATTCTATTCAAATCTATCTCCCATATTCTTTCTTCCTATTCACCTCTATAAACAAATAACTTATAATTGATTTATCTTGGAAAAAACAATTTACATTAGGCTAGAATAACTCAACTGAACAATAGATAGTAAATATCAGTATAGGGTTGTGGAGGTTATCAAGTTTTTGATTGAGATCATGAATCGATTGATGTTAGACCACCATTGAAAACCTAGAAGTACTGAACGGCAGTTTCGTCCTGTTGTGGGACTCCTCAGCAGACCGGTTGAGGTCGGACATTAACACCGTTGGATGCCGACTCAATGGTCTAGGGATTAGGCGTTCGCGCGCGAGACTAAAGGCCCTGGATTTGAATCCCAGGAGTGGGATCGTGGATGCGCACTGCTGAGGAGTCCCACAATAAAACGAAACGGCCGTCCAGCGCTTCCAGGTTTTCAATGGCGGTCTAACATCAATCGGTTCATGATCTCAATCAAAAAGATAATTATTAGATAGTACAAACAACATTATACGATAATAATAAAAATAAAATCTGACGAACACTTTTGAATATGATGTTCCAACCAAGTCCAGTGACAGTTATCTAAAACCAGAACGTCAAGCGAAAAAACTCACAGTTCGGAAGAAAGTTTTGTCCTCGAACATCGAATTCAAGGGGAAATACGGCAACTGGGATACTAAAAAATAAACTATCCATATCCTTGAAAAAGACTTTTTATTCAGCAGAGCTCCAACTATTTTTCCAGCAAGAAATTCATTCAGGGAAGTGTCAAGTATAAACTGCAATTTAAGCCACCTCAATGTGCATCTACCAGTTTACTTTTGTGAAGCAGGTTATATTGGACGTACAGAGCGCACACTTGGTGAACGAATATCCAAGCACTAACCTGTATCATTATCTAAAGGGATATGCATATCATCAACACCTCAGTTTTCAAACACATGGCCAATTCAGTTCACATCTCACCACGCGAATTCGAGTTCGAAATCCTCCACAAAGTAGGAAGAACTGGCTCAAAAAAGAGTTGGATGAGGAATTTATGCACAGCCGAGGCTATAGTAATTCACCATTTCAAACCCAAATTCTGTATACAGAAGAGTCACATAAAATCCTTTATTTTTCCATACCAGTTGAAGGACTGTGGAAAGCCAGGATGTACTAAATGTTAATCCTATTCTAGTCTGGGATTAATTAGTCAATTGCAAGGTATCAGGATCAAGCTATATTACGAATTGAATAAAACTGAAATTTTGAACGAATGGACAGTTATCTACGAGTATTGGAATCAGTCCCGGACCTGAATGTCCCAGATTTTATTCCTGACAAAGTTATAGGTGAATATTACTGAAAAGTTATCACCTAGTTATCAAAGGTTCCCTAGGTTTGGTCGATTCACTGACATGATTGTTGTGATGAGGATTAAACCTCACAATTGTTTTGGTCACAAATTACACCACCTTGCTCATTCTATTCAACTAAATTTACCAAGTAATCATTGGTGTAGATTATTATCGAGTGGAATCTCAAATTTTCATTTCATCCATACGGAATTGTACATATAACCATCTATGTAAACGTTAATATTGCGTCACAACAATCATTTGAGCTAAATAAAAAAAGTGATCCCCAGAAGTGATAGTGGATGTGTGTACCAATCGATTATTATCTTAAAGAGAGCAGAATAATTACGAACCAAATAGATCAATGGGAACATCGTTGACTGTGACGCTCAGCGGATTGTCTTCGATTTTCGCAGAGAACATCAACTCGCCAAAAATTGTAGAAACAAATAGTTGATAAGTGTCAACTAGCTTGAAATCTAAATCCTACAGAGCTACATGTCGATTACGTCTAATAATACTTATATGAAAGGTACTAACATTACTCGGCTTCTCACCCTTAAGTAGGCGGTGTAAAATCTGGGTCCAAAAAAAACAACTTTAACCTGCTTCTATTTATATAAATAATATTCAATTTTGCATATCAATGCATATTTACATACCGATTCACTTACGTATATAATTTGAACTATAGACACTATTATTATTATTAGATTTCATTTCTGAGTCAGCGAGAGTAGACTGTTGCGTTCTTGTACACGGTGTAACTTGAGCATACAGATGAACACAAGGTGTTGTCTGAAATATAAATTTTATATAAACAGAATGAGTGAATATTAGTTAAATTAATAACAGATTAAGTTGTATAAATCTGTATGGAGACAGGTTGTAGTTAACGCTAGAATTTAACTTATCTCAATTGTCAGTCAGTCAGTCATCAACAACATAGAACTTCGTACGTACTTATTCCAATTGTAACTCAGATGCAATATTTTCAAGTTATTTTATTTTCCCACACGAAATACATATGATACTTTGAAGGTGTGTATTGGTAAAATATCATATACTGGAAAAATGACTGAATCATTGAGTAGTATCATGTCTACCACGAGGTTTTTAAGCCTCAATTTAGTGGTAAAATGGGTTCTCATTATTAACTGGAAATTGTAGAAAATCTTAGCAAATCGCTTAACTGACCAGTTCACATTAAAACTAAGTACAAACATATGTTTAGTTTTATTGAAATCATGAACGAATTTAAGTCAGACCACTATTGAAAAGCAGAAAGTACTGGACACGAATGCAGAACCATCGGTGTCACACATGAACGCTTGACCTCCTGGGTTAGAGTTTCATGTATTGAATATTGAAAGCGCACTGCTGAAGTATATTAGTTTCTGATATTAATTATTTGATTGAAAATTTATCAATCAACTCTATATCACAACCTGTTTCAAAATTTTCTTGTTATTAGATAATTTATTAATAAATTTAAAGAGTTCAATTACATAATAATTCGTGTATTAGATACATCTCTTAGCATTTCGAATCTAGGAATATTTATTTCATATAGTGTTGATAAGTTTTCCTTAAATATTGTCTAAAATAACTCTAATGTGAATAATACCAGTCATACATAGCGTTGTAGCATGAAAGACAGCTTTATAAGACTAGGATCTATCGGTTCTTGATAACTCTTAGGCTGGAGTGGCCAGAGATCCTGTAACTTAGTGATGTTATCTAGATATGGCAAATAATAGAAACTAATGGCGATCCCGTCGTAGTTTTCGATCCGATTCATAGAAAGAATGAGATGAAATCCCCCAACAAGTCTTTCTTGTCTGTATTTTTAACTGGAATTTATTTTTTATTAAGTATAATTATTGTTCATTTATTTACTAATTGGACTACACTTTACTCCCTTGCTTCTTCACAAGTTTTTCACCTCATTTGTGTGGTGCATTTCATCTATGATGTCCTATCGAAACGGAATCTATGTGCTACCAGACAAGATTTGGTCAGTTTGAATGAAAAAATAAATTTCGACGACAACTCATGTAACAATCACTTGAGGGAAGGGTCAATGGTGGGTGTTAAGTATTAATTAGAGTACGCAACCTGGGAACCCGATTTAATAAAATAAAAGGCTTACAACATAATTACGCACTATTCTCATACCTTCAACAGTGTTCTAACTTATAATTTAGCGATTGAAAAAATAGAAACTTAGAGAGTTTATTGTATCTCACATCGAAATTGATAAGGTGTGAAATAAGTTGGCACTTTTGTTAATCAGTCATGAGGAAGATGAGTTTTAAGGAGCCGGATTCAATATTACGAGCAGTTTAGAAGTTTGAAAATACCAGCTTTAGAAATCTGGACTAAATTTTGAGAAATATTGTATTATATGCGGTATTTGTCACAAAAGGATATCCAGTTAGCGTACCATTGAAAACCAGACAAGATTGTATAGCTGTTCTGACATGGTAAGCGATTACTCGGTAGCCCGTACTTACAACATCACTATAGATTGAATATAGGGCCTTAAAGATTCATAGTTAGCGTTTAATCTTCAGATCGTAGAATCTGATCTAAAATAGTTTACATTTCCAGCTTCGAACAATTTGCAATAAAACACCGTCAGTGATGATTGCTAGCCTCACTTTGGCATGAACAATGCAGATATTCAATGCTCACTGATCTTACCCTAACTGATATCAATCTGTGATGAAAAGCACTTATAAATTAAGTTAATCTCTTCACAAAACTTCTCATCAAAAATATGAACGTATTATAGCGAGAATTCATGACTGATGACGGAAGAGAGGAGACCGATAGACGGAGTTAACACAAACGGTACTCAATGATGGTGGTTTTATATCATGAAATAATCGATACTGAAAATGTAAATCATTGGAATTCATCTTGATGATCTGAAAATACCAACATTAACTTACGGAACATTGGTAACAATTTCTAATCTTTGTATGATTATGACAAGTCGGTTGATTAGATAGTTGACAGTTATCAATAATTTTATTACTGTTATAATTATCATTATTATTATCATTTGAAATCTTTGAAGAGAATTTTGGAAATTGAAATGTAACACCGGCATTAGTAGCGGTCGTGGTGACTGTAGTAACACCATGGTACTGATTTTTTGTATTACCGTCCCGCTTCTTTTCATTAATACTACTATTATTATTACCCATGTTACATTCGTCTTTTAATTGAGAATAATGTGATTGACAGGGATCACGTCCTGATGAATAAAGAAATATATATATATTCATATATAAGAAACATTTTTTTGAAAATTTACGAAACAATTGATAAGCTACTTTAAACTTCTACAGAAAAATCATTACAAATTAAAGAAATGGGAATTAATATCAGAATCCGGGTTTGTGGAGATTGTGGTAATTTTAATAGTTGAATTCATGAGTCGATGTAAGGTAGACCATCATTGAAAACCTGGGAAGCACTGAACGGCCGTTTCGTCCTAGTATGGAACTATTCAGTAGTGCGCATCCACGATCCCATATGCATGACTCGAACCCAGGGCCTCCGGTCTCGCGTGCGAACGCCTAACCTTTAGATCACTGAGCCAGCATCCAATGGTGTTAATGTCTAACTTCCATAGGTCCATGAATTCAACTATTAAAATTAATACAATCCCCATAAACGCACATTCTGATAATAATCATCATGTGGTCATTAGTGACTGGCTTCAAGATGGATTTCCTGGAGTTCTAGTGAGAAGCAGTGATCTGTGGTGTGTAATCCGTGTCAAGTAGAGACAGGTATCTACCTCAGACAATGGATGAATGGTTACGAAAGATCATGGATCGATTGAAGTTAGACATTAACACCGTCGGATGCCGACTCATTGCTCTGGAAGTTAAGAGTCCGCGCACGGGACCGAAGGTCCTGGGTTCGAGTCATGCATGCGCACTACTGAGTAGTCTCTTACTAGGACGAGACGGCCGTCGAGTGTTTCCTAGTTTTCATTGGTGGTCTAGCTTACATCGACTCATGAATTCAACTATTAAAATGAAAATTAGTTTGACCTTAGTTTGGAACTGATCAACGGTGTATGTACATAGATAGAGTGATGCTCTCCTCTTAACCGATTTCCACTATGGTATCAGTTAGCATTTCAAGTTAGATTTGATAGATAAATTTTGTTGTTAAGTCATATATGTAAACTAATAAACAGTTTCACACTTCAGTTGATACTGAGTGGAAAAAGACCGAAAATTTTGCATAAAAATAGAGAAAATTTTCGATAACTGTTTCACATACATTTTAGATTGTTAACGAGAAAAAAATCTTTGGGAAGATTCTGAAATTTATTACTTTATCTATTACTATTATGGTGATTACACAAGTCATCCTATTTCTCTATTGTCCTAATGATTTTATTTAATGATGTTTACAACTCATTCAAAAACTTGAACTACCAACCAGTGTCCAGAGCATTAACCGGGTTGATGGATATGGAAGATCCATCTAGGGAAGTTGGAAAACTCTGATTCCAAACAAATGGTGCACATGGGCTCCAACATCCTGAGGGAACAATTGGTGTATGAAAAGAGCAAGAACAAAGATTCTAGCAGAATAGCATGAATTCATTTTATTTCGTAGGTTCTCGTCAGCTGCTTACAACCTGTGATATTTAAAAATCATAATTGCATAATGGATTTAAATTGCTTACAGAATATTGTAAATATATACCTAATGTGAAAGAACATTCTACAACATTAATTGTGACAACAGTTCAAAAATCGGTTAGAAACAATTGATTACATAATGAATAAACATTGATAGGAATATAGTGATTAGAGTTCAGTTGAAAGATTATTAATTTGAAAGATAGTTGAAAAAATAAATTAGAACCAATGATGTAATAAATGCAACAGAAAAAAGAGGAAAAAAAAGAAAAAAAAATTTTAAGGTTCAGTGAAGGAATATTTGTCACCAGGGTAAGGAAAGATTAACCACCGTCTCCTTTTGAATACATAGGTCAGGTTTTTGTCGCCTGATGGCAATGGCTTCAGCAAACTTCAGAAGACTGGAGTTTGGCTGCTTATTAATCACCCTAAAGGATTGTAAGGTATCTACCTGATGTCCTGTATCAAGGAGATGTTTGGTGATCGCACTGTTCAGAGTCTTTCTTTCCCTTGCTCTAAGACTTTTTGGAACATGTTCAAAGAATCTAAAATATGCTCTCCTTTCAGTTCGGCCGATGTAGCTGCTTTGGCAGGTACACGTAAATTTATAAATACAGTTGGCGGTAACATGAAAGGGTTGCTTGTCGATCTTTGATTGGGTTATTGAACATGTTGTTTTATAGAGAACTAAAAGTTTAGCAGCCGGATAAGTTCTGGCTAGCGCTGTATTCAGTCTCTTGTTGATAATTTGTGCGACGTCATCACCTTTAAAGTTAAGATTTATATATACTGGTTTTTTATTGACCATAGTTATTTCCGTCTTCTTTTCCTTGGGCCTTTTATATTTGTCAATGAATTTTTGTGGATAAAAGTTGTCTTTTAGGCATTTTTCTACGTTCATTAATTCTTCTTCCAGTTTGTCGGTGGTGCATATCTTTTCTGCCCTGTAAAATAGTGTTTTAACCAACGCCTTCTTGTAACTAATTGGACAAAAACTATTGAAATTCAGGTAGAGGCCATTCCAATTACTTTTTCTATAAATTGAACGTTGAACTGTCCCGTCTCCCCTGCGTTTTATGGCAACATCAAGAAAGTGGAACATATCGTTCTGTTCGTGCTCCATAGTAAAATGTATGTTATTATGAGTGTTATTGAAGAGTTTGAGCAGGCGGATTGCATGTTGTTTATTATTACAGATAATAAATGTGTCGTCCACATATCTTGAGTATTCCGTTGTTTCATTAATTGCCTGTTTAAGTATCGTGTTCTCAAGATACCCCATAAAAATATCTGCCATAATTGGACCTAGTGGACTACCCTTGCTACGCCATCGACTTGGCGATATATGGTGTTGTTAAATTGGAATTGAACATCTGTTGTACATATTAGTAGTAGTTTTTTGAATTCTGGGGCTGGTAGAGGTAGGAGATCTTCATTCTGACAAATTATATCAATAGTTTCAAAAAGTGGTATATTGGTGAACAAGGATATTACAACAAAAGAGACCATGAACTTGTCGTTAACATTCGTATGATTTTATCCGGCTGCTAAACTTTTAGTTCTCTATAAAACAACATGTTCAATAACCCAATCAAAGATCGACAAGCAACCCTTTCATGTTACCGCCAACTGTATTTATAAATTTACGTGTACCTGCCAAAGCAGCTACATCGGCCGAACTGAAAGGAGAGCATATTTTAGATTCTTTGAACATGTTCCAAAAAGTCTTAGAGCAAGGGAAAGAAAGACTCTGAACAGTGCGATCACCAAACATCTCCTTGATACAGGACATCAGGTAGATACCTTACAATCCTTTAGGGTGATTAATAAGCAGCCAAACTCCAGTCTTCTGAAGTTTGCTGAAGCCATTGCCATCAGGCGACAAAAACCTGACCTATGTATTCAAAAGGAGACGGTGGTTAATCTTTCCTTACCCTGGTGACAAATATTCCTTCACTGAACCTTAAAATTTTTTTTTCTTTTTTTTCCTCTTTTTTCTGTTGCATTTATTACATCATTGGTTCTAATTTATTTTTTCAACTATCTTTCAAATTAATAATCTTTCAACTGAACTCTAATCACTATATTCCTATCAATGTTTATTCATTATGTAATCAATTGTTTCTAACCGATTTTTGAACTGTTGTCACAATTAATGTTGTAGAATATTCTTTCACATTAGGTATATATTTACAATATTCTGTAAGCAATTTAAATCCATTATGCAATTATGATTTTTAAATATCACAGGTTGTAAGCAGCTGACGAGAACCTACGAAATAAAATGAATTCATGCTATTCTGCTAGAATCTTTGTTCTTGCTCTTTTCAAAATGATAAAGGGAACTATGTGTATAAAATTGGTGTATGAACCTATTGTCGTTCACTGGCTAACATGGACTGCATCTCCTAACGTTGCTGCTTCGCCTTGTTTATTAGACCTTTAGGTCAAAGGGGGCGTGGCCCCCTAAGAAAACCATCAGCTTTAGTTTGGGCGCCCAGAAAGTATTTCAGCCTTCACACAGACCGAATGAAGTGTGGCGCATATATATTCGGTGCCTCCTTGTATCAATGATTATGTTTTTAAATAAATAAATTAAGATGATTAATTGTATTTATTTCTTTAGACGCTTAGCATCCAAACTCAGTCTGACTTTGGTGTGATCTGTCTTTTTTCATGGCTTACAATCCATGAAAGCTGTATGCTACTCATAGATAAGGCTATATTGCCCATAATTATCAATTCTGTTGCATTTCCCATTACTGTCCAGTATGTGTATGTTCTATTCTCTTTTTTATTGGATAGCTTTATTTATTCCCAATCCCTATACGAATTATATTAATTTAGATTGCAACAACAGAATGACTATTAAAATATTAAGTTTTAATTGTTTTAACGTTCAACAAAACCCACTAATGGTGTTAGATGATTTCGAGCTGTGACTAGACGTCAAAAACGTGAACAATTCGATTGTGATTCCATGATCTAAAGATAACACACTCATAGTGAGAAATGAAAATCCTGGATTATACTCTTAGCGATATAGCAGGTATGTGTACTAACTGAATAATGCTATAATAGGCTAAAATATATATCCAGTACTCCCTAGTAATTTTTAATAGCTCTGTAGTTGTATTATCGAATCGTTATGACAAAAGCTAACTTCGGATAATGTTAATAAATCTTTTAATCAAATATAAATTATATTTTTACCTGCCTAATAGGTAGAATCACAGATTCTGTAGACTATTACATGTTGTTTAAACATTTTAATGTCTGTTGAAAGGGATTAATCTTGTATATGAGGGAATTTTCAATTTTATTTCTCATCTCATCATTTTTATGATTTTATTCATTAAGTTGAATAATAATAATAATAATAATAATAATAATAATAATAATAATAATAATAATAATAATAATAATAATAATAATAATAATAATATACCTCTAGGATATTTTCCTTCAAAAAAAGTAGAATGCGCACGAATCAATGGCGAAAACTTACTATTTCCAGTCATGTTTTTATTAGTATGCATTGAATTACTATTAGTAGTAGTAGTCGGAGTAATATTTACATTAACTATTGTTTCCATGTCTTGAAGTGTTTCTTGTGTAACAAAATTGTTACTAATCGTAGAAGAGGGAAATGGAGGATGACTTACACTCGCATACAACCCATCAGAATCCGATGTTGGATCATCAGCATCATCATCACATAGTGAATAACATCGATTGTTTGTATCAGAAACTCCTGTTAATGAATTTTTTTTAATTGATTGTAATAATTTAGGGATGGTAACATCATATAAATGATGCTTATTACTAACTAGTTGTTTCACTGTTGGGATTGAATAATAATAACATGTTAATTGATCCATGTTATCTTCTGGTAATGGTGCATGATCAACATGAGTTTGATGATGATCAATTTTAATTTGTTTATTCTAAATGATAATTAGAATGAAGAGAATAATGACACAGAAAAATACAAGTATGAATACCAATAATAAAACTATGTTATTCAAAAGTTATGCATAAGATTGTGAAGTTTCACTGACTGAAATGGATGAGGATGTCTTACACATGCTTAATCAGAGCTTATCTTGATGCCCAATTTTGGCTGAGATAGAAATAAACCAGAAGAAAGCTAATAGGTTTCAACTAACTGGTTAGGGTTTGCGTAATCACCGTAACTAATGGTTGGAGACATTAAGTGACATGGCTCAAACAGGTTGCAATGGTCCAAATGTATTCACTTTTTGATTTTGTTTAGGTTTTGAGTTTTAAAATTGTCTTATACTTTTTATTCTGTAGATTCATATTCGTTATGGTTAATCTTTTTTAACCATCATTGAATATTATTTTTATTTCTCTTACTTGTTATTTAGCTTGATAATTTCATCTCGATGTATTGATTTAGTGTGGGAACTTGGACCGATGCATATTTGCACCAACCTCCAAGCTGAATTGAATGGTCAACTAATGTAATTCACATATAATCTGTATGGTAAGGGTAAATGAGACATGTATGGTGGGACAATCGATTGAACAACCCTCACATGAGGCGTAAAGTACCACGCAAAGATAACAAAATCTGTTGATGGATCTTTTAATAAATGTTGACTAAGATGGTCAGAACATGTTCCGCATACGCAACCGCTATCTTTTTGGATGTACAATGCCGAATGACGTAGGTTGGAATAAAGCTAGGATCAATCGAACGAAGACGTGGCATCGGTTCATAAAATGTTGGTAGTTTCAAACTATATAGATGGGGTTCACATGATAGGCATGATCGAAGGTTGAACAAGATCTCAGGGAAACAGATGAATTCATTCTTCATCATTCTATGAATTTTGAGTTTCATAACACTATTTCATACTTTCCATCACGTAAAATTATTCATCCTTCTTAAATCATATTCCTTACATTTAGTCTTTCTCACTATTATTAATTATGACTCCTTTAATATGCATTATATTGATAATATTTAGCCAGGTTGATACGGTTTGGTCTGTGATTCTCAACTTGAAACAAATTTAAAAATATATGCTTCTAGACTAGGGGAAATCATAATATTTGTGATCTACTTTCAGGTTATTCCAATATTTCTATTGTTCATCAATAAACCCCAAGAGTAATTTATGTATTTCATAACCATGCATTTACTCTCTTGGTTTATGAACTGCAGGTTAAAAACTTTTACACATTAATCATAAGTAAACCTTAGAGTTGGTTTCCAGTTCTGTATCGTAGTCTTTTTACGGTTTCTTCATCTTCGTATACCCTGATGAATTCTTTGAGATTTACATATACAGAGAGTAGAGTTAGGTCAGTGAATCGAAAAAAATTGCTCTCCCGAACTATACTCGAGGATGTCAACACTTTCTTGCTACACTTCTATATTTTATTATAGCTCTATGACTACCATCAGAAATATTAAACTTATGCTAAACAGTCGCTTTTTGAAACCACAAATGACCTTTTAAGCAGTATAAACCTTGCTTTAACTTTACTTTGTGTTCTACTGTCCGATTTAGTCAACGTCACCTTCCTAATGCTCAACCAAATGATTGTCCAAAGAGAGACCAAGGTTGTGTGGAATGAAGAGGTTTTATCTAGGTGAAAAATCCGCCTATTTATAACAACCCATTCTCCACCATTTCACAACCCATAAAAATTTGCCTCTCACTAATTGAATACCATCTATCCGGCATTGCTCATATTTTACTTTCTATACCCTAGTTTCTGTACCAATCTTCGTACTGTCTACCATTCTGTCGATTAGTAACAGTGTCAAGTTATCTGAAAAAATCCCCCTTACAAGAGAAGGAAATAAACTCGTTTGTGATATTGTCCTACTTTTTCCTGTAATGATCGGTAGGCATGGGATAAGTTCTCAGAATAATTATGGTTAGAAGTCCACACTATTAAATGCTACTACGAAGAAATTCACTGTATATTAATCAAAGCGCTAACTTACCTCAGTAAATGCCGCATCGAAGTATGTCGGTACTGGTGGAAGTTCACAATTCCTATGTGTATTACTGTCTTGACTAAATAAAAAGCATGAAAAATGATTCATTAAAAATAAATTCTATTTTGAGAATATATTATTTAATTAGTATGAGGGTGTGAATATTATTGAATTCCATTCGAAAACATGAACAGATCTAAGTTAGATCAGTATTAAAAGCCTAAAAACATTCGGAGGGCATCCCGTCCAACTATGGGACTCTAAAACAATGAGCATCCACAATCTCGTGCAGGACTCGGATCCAGAGCCGTGATTTATTATCCCGTTAATTAATTAGTTGAATTTCTGATTCCTACTTGAATGACGAATTTGACAAATATTTCGGCAGATTGTTTGTTTCGAATGGCTAGAGTTATTGATCTAATGACGGACTGATGTATAATCACTATCATTGCACAATACTAAAAGTTACTACTGATGGCGATAAAAGTAGTATTAAATCTCTAATGCAACACAGGAATCTAGTAAACTGTTATAGACTCAGTTTTGATCTACTGTTAGTATGTGAAGACGCATAATAATACTACCTGATTGTGTAGATAGCAAGAAATGGAATCAAGTTTGAATCGAACGGTTAAAAACTAATTGCTTCGATCAGTGAATTTATCATTAAAAAAGAGAACAATAACAGTACACAACTTTACATGCATTACATCAGTAATCAATATCAGTGTTTAATATTCTGAGCCAATTAAACTCCATGGTTATTAGGTCTCCAAATACACGATGGGATCGACTATTGTTGGAGATGACTGAGTCCTTGAAGGCTAAACAACCATAGAATCATTGATGCATTAGCCTCAATAATTTACAAATTCTGACAAAAAGAAACACAACTGTGGTGGTGAACTAAATTCGAGTTTAACTGTCTGAAGTGCAGTTACACTATGTCGGATAACTTCATTCCTCTAAATAATTACAGTGATATTACTGTTCTGATATGATATTCAATAAGACTACGACGATTTACCAGTTGCGCTAAGTTCGAGTTGTGTCTGATAGAGATGTATAAGGCAATGATACTTCAGTGTTCAATATTTTTTATGGAGTAAGGGGATACTAAATATGTCATACCAGTGTGCAAAAATACGATGCTGATTCAGTTTTGTCGGGTATGTTTGTACATATGAACGTTGGCCCAAAGCATTAGGACCTCAGAATGTAAATGTTAGTATTGATAAGCACCCGTTAGAAGATCGTACAACATCCAATATACCACCATACCACAGATAAAGAATATGATAGCAGTCGTTCATATATGTTTTATTTTAATTACATTTATGCTATAGGTCTAAATATTCCTACCGCAATCTAAGATTTTGGATCCATGCAGTACATGGTGAACTAAAAATCACCTCCATTAAAACCAATCACAACTATGTACATAAAGGTATATTCCTATAGACCCTTTGAGACAACAGTTAATGTCTAGTGAGTGGGTTTATTTGAGACTATTTTTGAAATTCTTTAAGCAGCTCACAAGATGATGACATGGCTGAAACACGATCATAACAATATCCAGGTTGTAAAATCTACATGAAATCTAATTAAATTTAGGCACTAAAAATGCGAACAAAATTATGCGGTGTGTTCAGCTCAACTTTGAAGCTATAGTCTTTCATGAAAATAGCAATAATTCAATATTTTACTTCAGTCTTCGAGATGAAATTGGAATATATTATGCATTTCTGAAAGTAACATATATCGATTCTGCAAATAAGACTTATAACCTAAGTGAGTATCGAGGAATAATCGCTTTATTTGGAAGGTTTCCTTTGGGTTTCAGTTAGTTGTTCCAAATAGTCTAGGAACAGAAAGACATTGTCATATATAGCATTTGACGACAAGAAAAAAAGAAATATGTGAAACTCTTGGAAGCATTCAAAGTTATCATATATGGTATATGCAGTACGGGAAATTTTGTTATGGACTAGGTGACCGCTAAAACCTCGACTAAGCAATCTAAATACAGTCATGTCAATATAGTATTAAGTTTGTTTTATGCATTACAAGCACCAAGGAAAATTATTAAAAAATCATTAAACTGTATTACTGGATTAGTGGTTGTTGCGCGGTTTTTTGTGTAGATTACAATCTCACAGAGTTTGAATGCTACAAATTTTAAATGTTTTCGTTGTAATCTTATCTAATTCAACGACGTAGCGTTCGCTGATCAAAGTTCAAACTCGTCGAAACACAATGATCTTATTAAATATCAGTCCAGTATCATATATCAGAACAGTAATATTGTGGTGTGTGCTACTTATACTGATATAAGTAGTATATGTTAGTCGTGAACAGAAGGTCTGGCAGCAGGATCGAATAGTAAAGAATGGAAAGCATGCAATTTGTATGAAAATGCAAGAACAATGAAGTCTGAGTCATTTTGAGACAATCGGTAAAAATTTTGCAAATTAAGCATTTACTTTATGATTGTTAGATTTTATTAACAAGTCCTGTAAATTTGTGTTAAATACATCCGATTGTCCCCACCTGTGTTCTGTTCACTACAATATCACTGTCATTATTTAAAGGAATGAAGTTATCCGATATAGTGTAACTGCACTTCAGATAGTTAAACTCGAATTTAGTTCACCACCACAGTTGTGTTTTTTTTGGCAGAATTTGTAAATTATTGAGGCTAACACACCAATGATTTGATGATAGTTTAACTTTCAAGAATGCAGTCACTTCCAACAATAGTTAATCAACGAAAGAATTTCACCTTGATTATATTTATTCATTTAGATGTAGAAAAATTACTCATTCATTAAATACATTATCTATCAAACGGGTAAACATTCATTTATAATGAAAACCAATCACATGACAACAAGCCAAAATGTTAAAAATGATAATAAGACGATTGTATGTTAGATAATTCACCGATTTCTTTTTGTTTAAACTCGATGAGATCATTGTGGTAACTAAGTTCTTCAAGATTTCCTGCTGTTTTTTTGTTTTCTTTCCTTCTAAATTCTTTGTTCAAAGATTTATTTAAAAAAAATAGGAAGAAAATTTTATACCTATTTCACAATTTGGATCATTTTCTCCGAGATTTTATAGACGTTTCGAATTGATTTTGTACGTGAGATAGCTATCACTGGCGGTAATTCATGACCGCTGCAAAATATCAAGAGTCAACTTAATGTTAAAAATGTGAACCATTGGATACCAGTTTAGTGGTTTGAAAGTAATAGCACTTATTTATACAAGAAAGAAGAAATTAGCAGACTACAGGAAGTGTTTTTCGCATCACTTGGGGACTCGTCAGTTGGATGTAGTACCCGTAGTAACCTAACGTTGATGCTCACACACACACACCAATACTCGAATCTAATCTAACACTACGTTATTCAAATACCAAGGAGTTAGACATCAGGCAACCAAGTTACAACGAATGCTCTAGGCAGTCATCAACGTAGATTCTGAACCCCTAACAATTCTGTACTCAATAGCAACTATACTTTCGTGAAAATAGATTATGACAATAAGATTCAGAAAATCTGTGAGCATGAATGCTTTCTTTTTCTTAAGAAATAAGTTAAATTAAAGGAAAGTAGATTGAATTTAAGGATATTGGGTTCGAGTTATCATAATCGAGAAAACTACTTTCAAGTGTCTGTACGAAATTGAAAAAAAAGATCGAATGACTTTTATCTTTTGTCTCATAAATTGTACAATAGAAAACCTTATTTAAAAGTGTTAAGAAATATTTATTACTGACATTCTACAGTAAAATGATGATGTATTAACTGATCACTTTCTTACATTCTGATTTTACATAGTACATTAATCAATCAATTTTTGTTTCCATGTACCGTGTTGATTGTAAACTTGGAAAATATTTATTTTATTGGTGATTTACTGAATAATCTCCAAAGTTATGAAGTAAGAATGCTCAGACTTGTAATGAATTTTACGCATGTCTTACAAAGCCATGTCACTAGGTCTTAAGCAAATTTGTAGGTGATAATGAATTTCTTACTTCATTATTTATGATTATGAAGAAGATTCAAAAACAAAGTTTAGGCATAAATCAATTCATACTCTGTTTATTGAAGTTATGTAATAATATTTCTACAATAATAATACCAGAGAAATGATAATAAGCCATAACAAATCGTAAGATTTGCTAAAACTCAAAAAATCTGACAGGTTTCATTGTTTCCATTGAGAAATACTTTGATTTGTCAAGACTCTCTGCTCATTGGCTGAAAAGTAGCTCTAAAAGTACTCAGTTACTTTAAGAATCTCTCGATTTTGTCCCGTACTCTACTTTTATCGTCTTCAGTAGTATATATATATATATATTTCAACTCCTGCACAGGAAAATGGTGAGCATTTCAAATATACATCAGGTCGGAAATCTATACACTCGGCTTTGAGGTATACTATAGTTACATAAAGGCTAGTCAGCCAATTAAAATCAATCTAGAACCTAGCACAAATATGCTTTAGCCCAAACTGCCATACCTACTCAGGACGATGAGATCAAACTAGCAAGATGAATAGCAAATGAGTAAAAGTAATAGTGGTAACAAAAATAGGAAAAAAATGTTAAACACTGGAGATTATGGTTGGCAAAGCGATAATGTATGAAGGAATATTAGAATTCATGATTAAGGGTAAGATAAGGAGTGAATGTATCTATGCCCCTCCAAATGATTTTAAATCAGTCAACTATATGCTAAACTTCATCCAGGTAGCTTTCAAGCACTTAATAATAATAATAATAATAATAATAATAATAATAATAATAATAATAATAATAATAGAAAAACTGAATAGGATACGAGCAAAGGAATTGTAAACACATACTGTAGTAATGGATAACTACTAGGAGATATAATATCCGTACTATTCATATTTGTATTTAGTCCAATTGTGGTAGCATACGCCAAATCATCTTCATTGACGAATAAATTAGAATTTTTAATTAATACATGATTGGTGGTATCATGATTGATGTTAACCTTGGTGGTAGTGATAGTTTTAGTTTCAGCAGTAGTAGTGGTAGTATTGGCAACAGTATTAAGTGCACATTTATGCGGTCGAATGAGTCTAACTGTGAAAGATTTATGGTGATTGTAAGTGATTTTCTAAAATAGAAAAAACCCAGTATATTTCATACAAAGTTAACGAGTATAGATACTAATTTAATTTCAAAAATCAGCACTTTACGATGATTGGGAAAAGTTCTATGAACTTAACTTCAAAGTTGGATAGTTTAAAAGAATAGTTAGAACATTTACAGTCAGGTTATTCGACAAACATGACAGAGAGGAACATGAAATAGTGGTAGGTTTCAAGCATTTTTTAAATCCCAAGTCTCCTAGAAAATAATGTCAGAATTATGAATGATGGAATGATGATGTTAGACTTCAAGTGCTAGGAAAATATGAGAGATCTGGTGACGAATTTATGAAATTCCGGTAATTAAAACAGTGTGCACATTAATTACGAATATCGAATTACTGCCTAAACAGGAGATCATACAGTTTAACACAAGACTATATTTTTAAAAAAGTTTACAATACCCAGAATAATAAATAACATTGATGGTTTGAACCACTAGCTATTGGTTCGAGTAGTGTGGATGATACGATGTAAAATGTTTATGCCTAACAATCACAACAAACTAATTTCCTCGAATAGCCTATGATATTTCGTCATGTTTATTTTGTGTTCAAAATTTGTATATTACTTACTTAATCTGATTACTCCTCGTGGAGGAGCAAAGACCACCCACCGGGATTCTCCAGCCAACTCTGCCCAGACCTCTTTTTTCCAGTTGTTTCCGAGTGTTGTTCATCCTTTTTGTGTCTCGATCTAATTCTCGACGCAATGTATTCCATGGTCGTTCTCTTTTTCCTTTGTCTTCAGGATTCCAAGTTGGGGCTTGCCTTGTGATGCGGTTCGATGATTTCCGTAATGTCCTATCCAACTCCAGTATCTGTTCGTAATTTCCTATTCAGTTGGAAGTTGCTTTTTTTTCTCTCACAGTAGGTTTTTGGTGATATCCGGCCAACGAAAATTGATATTTTGCACACAAAATTGTTTGTAAATAACTGTACCCTTTTGATTATGGTTGTAGTAGTTCGTCAATTTTCAGTTTCGTACACTAGAACTGTCTTAACATTCGTATTGAAAATTCTGACTTCGATGTTGGCTTGCAGACAGTTGTTTTGAGTTCTATATGCTCTCTAATAATAGGAATGCTACCCTTACTTTGCGAATCCTTGCTTTTATGTCTGCATCAGACTCTCCTTGTTCATCGACTATGCTGCCCAAGTACGTAGAACTTTTCCTCTCTTCCAGAACTTCTCTAACAGATGTTACTTGTTTGTTTCTCTGTGTTGTATTTTAGGATCTTGTTTTCCCTCTTGTGAGTGATGAGACCTACTGTTGTAGATGCTGCTGCTTCACTGGCTGTCTTCGCCTGTATTCGTTGATGTACATGAGATAGAAGAGCTAGGTCATCTGAGAAGTCCAAATCATCTAGTTGCATCTAAGCTGTCCATTATATTCCATGCTTCCCCTCAGATGTGGTCTCCATAATCCAGTCGACCACAAGAAAAGAAAGGACGAGAGTGAGTAGCCCTGTCTATTTTGAATCTAAGGATTTTATTTTATTACACAAAGATCCATTCATCTGGTTAGTGATCTTGTTTCCAACTTTGATCATTCGAGGGCTTAATTCGATTATACAGTCTCGTAAATAGCCATTACTGGGTCGAATTATGTCATTGAGGTCCATCTATCGACCTGGCTGTAGCTGCTAACTTGAAGTGGTGGTCGGGCTTGCCTATCATGATAACTCAACCGAGTTATATTAGCTGGGATATTGGTTTCTTGAGGTCATACCATGCCAGGTAGGTTGGTTGGAGAAAGTTAAGACTAAAAGCAGCAACTTAAGGCACGAGGGCGAAGTTGTACTCCTGACTCTAGAGGGCTGTGGCAGCAGTAAGGTGCTTCTCTAGGACAACCGGCACGTGTAACAATGCTGTCTTCTCACAACGGAATGTAGGGGTTAGAAAAGCTTCACCCCGAAAATATCACACCTCGCCTTACCTCACGAATTTCCGTCTCCTGCGGTAAGACTTTTTGAAGTGCGAGGCGAACTCGTCAAAAACTTCCTATAAAATGACGTGCTCAACCAGCCTCAAGTATTTGTCTTTTTGGCTCCACAGTCAAGCTTCCGGGTCGCTAAGACCACCAATAGTTCAGCACCCTCTTCAGGTCTCTCAAGAAGGAATATCCTTCCACGGCGTGGGTAGCCGGGAAGTGACAACCACCCTCATACCTCTACTGGCACGCGAAGTTATCTTGTTGATGATCGAATCCTTCCCTCACCTCTTAATAATTCTTCCATTCCCACGATTAGTCCTTCTCACATATCTTTATCACCATGCGCCACCAATGCTAATGGTTTGAATTCACGAAAAGTTATTCCTTGTCTCCTGAAACAACACTCTACACTACATATTGCAGCTTTTAATGTTCGAACCTTGTGTCATATAGGACAATAGGCTTCTCGCACCGCCGATGTATGGTGAGTCTCCGAAACATGCAGACAGGATCCAGGTACAGCCATTCACTTGACATCACCTCGTCAATATAAAGAACTTGTACGATTTATCCTCCAAGCATCTGGAGGTGTCACTGCTACTTCCTGTGGTATAGCATTAAGTTCTAAGGCAGAACAGGCTCTCCTAGACTGGATTCCAATAGACAGTTGCTTATACGCTGTTCGACTAAACGGGACAGTCAGAACTTAAAAAGATAGGGACACTCAACGTTATCTTTTCGTTGTCTCTGCTTATACTCCTGACTGCAGCTCGGACGAAGTTGAAGATGAATTTTATAGGAAGCTATCCAACCTTCAAAAAGCTAAACGCTCTGATGTAGTAATAGTGGCGGGTGAAGTTAATTCTTGAGTAAACTAAACCAAACCAAAAGTCACTTAGTCAGATCTTATGGTGTTGAGGCTCAGCGAATAGATAATAGCAACCATCTGTTGCGATTATGCTAAGATAACTGTCTATTCCTGGAAAATACCAACACCAACACCAAGTTGGTATGATATCCAGAAAGCCATAGAAACAGAAAAGGTTTGGGAAAAATAAGTGGATTTCATTAGCGTCAACAGAACTGATAGTTGCTCGGAAACATCCCGTCTGGCTTTGAACACAATGAGGGGCGAAGGCAACCTAAATGTAGGTTGATCAAAAGCCTACGTAATGATCGTGAGCAGTGGTGGGAAACGAAAGCAGAAGAGATGGAAAAGACAACAGCGATAGGTAACAGCAGACAGCTGTTCAGACTTATCAAGGGAACGGGTATTGAAAATTTTTCATATATAAATATTCTTAACAAGTATATGTGTGATCAGATTGTTCGAAATGTATTGCGCAAATATATCACATAATTCTGATAAACTACGTCTTCTCATTGCATTATCAAAATTTATCAAAGGGACTAATTGTTTTAAATTTGAAAATTCGGTTGTTAGTGAAACTATCTCGGAAAAAGACAGGACTATTATTCACTCACAATCCAAGGGACTGAACCGATGGGCAGAACACTTTAAGGAATAGTTCAGCTTGCCTTTAACTACACTTCAGTTACCCACTATCTCCAAGTAACCTGGACGGCAAACTGATGTAAGTCCTTCAACTATTAGTGAGATTGAAAATGTTATAGGCAATCTAAAGCGAGGGATGGATGGACTAACCCCTAAGATTTTTAAGTATGGTTGTTCAGTTTTACCAGTTAAATTAATTGAGATCTTCGTTAGAATCTGGAAAATGAACGTAATCCCATCTGAATGTTCTCGATTGCTGATCGTCCTAGTCTATAAGAAAGACAAAAGTCCCCTCGTGCCAACAACAGATGAATCAGTGTTACTAATATAGTGTCTAAGATATTAGCCTCAATAATATTTTGACGTCTGACTAGAGCTCATGAAGAGCAAATATAAGAAAACGGATGGTTTCAAACCTGAGTGTGGATGTATAGACCGAACATTTACCCTTCGGCAGATCCTGAAACATAAGCATTCTCGAGCCCCTCCATCGGTGGCTGATAGCGATTTGATCTATTCGGGTCCAACGTTGGGACGAATTAGGAGGTCGCCATATCAAAAGATGTTTTCCCTTATACTTAAAGTTAGTATTTGCTAGGAACATGTGGTTATCTGAGCATAGCTGCAACAGACGGTCGCCATTATCTGTTATTTGAGCCACAACACCATAAGATCCACCCACGGGTCTTTCCCTTTCGCTTAGTTTACTTACTTGAGCATTAAAGTCACCAGCCACTATTACTACATCAGAGCGCCTAGCGTTTCTGAGAAGGTCGGAAAGCTTTCTGTAAAACCCATCTTTTACATCATCTGAGCTGCAGTCAGTGGGTGAATAGGCAGAGACGACGAAGAGGCAACAACGAGTTTCTCTGTCTTTCCGAATCCTTACTGTTCCGTTTAGTCGGACAGCGCACAGACGAATGTCTACTGGGATCCAGTTTAAAAGAGTTAGTTCTGCCCTAGGACTCAGTGCTAAACCTACGCCGGCGAGGCCACGAGAAGCAGAATCAGGGCTTCCCGATGCACGAAGTGTGAACCAAGTTGGTTCTTTATTTTGACATGGTGAAGTCAAATGAATGTACGCTACTCGGATCCTGTATGCGCGTTTCGGAGACGAAGCACACATCGATGGCGCGAGATTCTAAAGTCCTAGCTAAGGAAATCTGTTGTCCTATTTGGCACAGTGTTCGGACGTTAAAAGCTCCTACGTGTAGTTTACAGCGTGGTTTCAGGAGACCAGGAATAAAGTTCCGCGTACTTGAATCGTTTGCCCTAGCGGTGCGAGGTGATAAAGAGACGTGAGGAGGGTTAGTCATGGAGATAAGAGAGGTATTAGGAGGTGTAGGAAGGATTTGAATGTGACCAACTTGGTCTCGTGTGTTGTTACGGGTATGAGGGCTGACGTCACTTCCCGACTGCCCACACCGTGGAAGGGTATTTCTTGAGGAACCTGAAAAAGAAGTTGGATTAATGTTGGTCTTAACGACCTGAGAGCGTGACTGCAAAGCCCAAGAGACAACTGCTTGAGGCCGGTTGCGCACGGCCCTTTCTTGGGAGTTTTTTAATGTGATAGTTCTGTTCTTCAAAGAGCCTTACCGCCGGAGACGGAAATCCGTGAGGTAAGGTGAGGTGTGAAATTTTTAGGGTCAACCTTTTCTAACCCTGTCCTTCCTTGTAAGAAGGCAGGATCGCTGCAGATGCTGTTTGTTCGAGGGGAACACCTTACTGCTGTCACACACCTCTACAGTCAGCAGTACGAGTTCGCCCTCAGACTTTGAGTTACTACTTCTAGTTTTACCGTTCTCCAATCGACCCGCCTGGCATGGTAGAACCTACAGGAACATATGTTCCAGCCAATATAGCTCGGTTGGGTCATCACGATAGGCAAGCCCGACCACCGCGTCAAGGTCGCAGCTACAGCCTTTTGTGGGAGAGAACAAACCAGCCTCCAGTTCAAGAGGAAACCCGGTAAAGACGATGGAAATGGACAGGACATACATTACGCAAATCACCAAACTGCATCACGAGACAAGCCCTAACTTGGAATCCTGAAGGGAAACGGAAAAGAGGAAGGCAAAAGAACACACTACGTCGGGAAATAGAAGCGGATATGGAAAGGATGAATAACAACTGAGATGAGCTGGAAATGATTGCCCAGGACAGGGTTGGATGGAGAATTCTGGTGAGCGGCCTATGCTCCTTCACGAGGAGTAACAGGCGTAAGTAAGTAAGTAATCCCTAAATTTGATGTGTTCTATTAAAATAAGTGTTCAAACACAATCACATGTTAAAGCAAGCCTAGTACAACTAACTCATTTACTGGGTTGAAATCTAGTTACTTGACTTCGAACTATACGTTGATTGTATTATGAATAGCGATAGTGCCTGGATGTACAAACAGAACCTGAGATTTACTTGATGAAAGCCGAATGTCTTAAACAGAGTCGCCCCCAGCAATACATCAAAATAAAAGCTAAGAACGCCAAAGGAAATGAGAGCTCAAATGTTGTCTTCATTACGAGAACTAAGAGTACGGGGGCTCCGAATGCCTCGGTACGGCCGAGGGTGAGGAGGGTCTGCTCTCCCTATCGAAATGCTCTCACATGGCCATGCGTATGAAGTCACTGCCAAGGAAAACCTACTCACTGTCTTCTCGCGGCGGGGGCGTTGTTTATGAAACGGAGAGGACGAAAGGCGAATGTCCGGTTCTTTATCCGGGTTATTGGACACGAATGGTCCACCTAGAGGGGTCGAAAACCCTGATTCCAAACCAATGATGCACATAGGCTACAGGATCCTGAGGAAACAAATGGAGTACAAACCAATTATTGGCCACCGGCTACCATGGGACTGCACTTCCTGACGTCGCTCCACTGCCTTGTGGACCAGACTTTTGGTCGAAGGCCCCGGGCATGGCCCCCTAAGAAAATCACATGCTTCGGTCTGAGCACTCGGGCAGTATCACAGCCCACATAGAAATCAATGGACTTGTGTGACGCATATGTATTCGGTGCTCCTTCGTACCAATATTTATGTATTCAAATAAATAAATAATAAAGAGTATGGGAGTACTTAAATAGTAAGTCGACACTTGTAATACACTTACTTGGCAGGAAGTAACACTGTTGTCAGTACTAGGATTGTGTCTTTTTTGAGTTAAACTAAAGAAAATGTAAATGTTTAATTGCTTTTTTAAGTAAATACTTGCTTACCTTTGTTTTTTATTCCAACAGAAACATAACAATAGAATGAATGAAAGTGATAATCCAAAAGCAAATGAACTGATATAATTTAATGCATACTCCATACGACCTTAAAAATGTATTTGCATACGTAGATTGGTGCGAACTTACATTTACCAAAAGTTAGATTTTGTTATTAAAAGCTTGATATTTGATTAGGGTTTTTTTTATCTCGTTTTGTTTGTATGTAAATCCGGAACTCATTAGTTTGATTACAACAGAACTTCTTTAGTGTGGATATTTGAGAGAGAGAGAGAGAATAAAGGGATGAAATATGAAATAGGTGTAAAATACAAAATTATTTTATCATGAACACAGACAGGAATTTGGAGTTAACAATAGGGAACTGTAAAACAGTTTACGATATAAGTTTGTATGTTGAACAATCTATGCAAAAAATGGTATTGACATGATAACTAAATAATTAAGGTTTTTAATCACGCTAGTATTTGGAATATCAAAAAGTTAGAACACAGTACATTCGAAATTACTGTTGTAATTAAGTAGCTGTCGTTTCTTCAAACTTATAAGAGATCTGTCAAGTACTTTACTTAATGAGTATGCTTTTTATTTCACGAACACGAAGAGCTGTGTTATGTGAAATAATTATTTATGAGATGGTGAATAGTGATAAAAAGTGGTACGACAATGATATAAAATAAATTCGTAGGTTTTTCTAGATCTCACCAACACAGAATCTCAGAAAGAGGACCATCACTGCCCTGCATTCTAGGTCAAATCTAACGAGTTATATGATTTCGGGGGATCCATCGAATTAAAAGCCAAGGACTGCTAAACAAGTGTTATTTTTAACAGTATAGATTCCGAGGCTGAGATACTAGAAGTTGATTTTAGAGTCACTAGGGAAGATACTGAAAATAAGTATCTAAAGCAATTTAAGGCCAATATCAGCGTGATGCTACTTCAGGTACTAAAGCTAACTATGGTTCGTGGAGTATTAAAAGCCGAGATATTTAAATATTATCTAATCTTAGAGCCAATATCAGCGTGATTGCACTTCGTAAATCGAAATCAACTATAGTTTGAGTACCAAAAACAGAGGTATCTAAATGTTATCTATACCGAATGTGAAAAATATTTATGAGAACGTTCGAGATAGAATCAGGTTAGCGGTATAAAGAATGGCTTGTAAATGTACATGACGCCAATAGCTGAAAACGCTGAGAGTTTTTAGGAGTAAAACTTTTGTAGCACTATACATGGAACATACACTTATTGAAATTTTATTAGGTTAACAGTTATAAACACATCCAGTCGTCTATTTTGGCTACATAGAGCATGTATAAATATGAATAATCCTTGCAAACTGTCATTTCATACCATGTAAAGCTGGAGAATTCAGTTTTATTTTGCGTCACAGTTCCGAATTTTCGAGGAGACACTTATTCTTGAGAAGTTTGATATACTTCCGCCACCACGCCCTATTCCCAAGGGAAGAGATCAACAACCACAAAAGCTTTGAACCTGTGGTTGTGATCAAGGTCAAACAATATTTGGCCAGTAGCTCAGCGAAGATAGACTTAAGGCCTCCCCATAGTGTTGCTCTATAGCGGGAGAAAACCCGCTAACCAACCTTTGCGGTCAGTCGCTCTCTTATATCTGACCGATTCTTCGTTCTATATTCGGGGCTCACCTTAGAGCTCAGGCTACCCCATGTGTGTGCTTATGTATGAGAGTTTCAGAAGTTATCGGACCTACGTCATTCAAGTATTTTGGAATTTATACGGTATGATAAAAAGGACACATCGAGCTACAAGCATGTCTATCATGTGTCTGATAAAATCAGCTGCATATTTATCAGATCGAAGACAATAAAAAGAGGTGGTAGCAAATAATAGCGTGAGGCGACGAACAACATAACTTGAGAGAGTGCCTATGATTACGTGTGGGTCTAATAATACTGGCGCGATAGCCATGTGCTGAATGATGTGCCAAACTGTTAGGGGTGACCACACCAGAACATGGTGTAGGGCCAGTGAAATGTCACTGAGCCCTAGCCAAACCATCCGGCAGTTGGATCACTGAATGTCGAACAGATCATCGCTCCCTGCCAAGGTCATGTACAACCAACGCGCATTGGTTAATCGTATGCCATGGACTGGCCCATGCAGCAGTGGTATTACTTTCGCTTGTATCTACCTTAACTAATATATTTCTGTAATAACGTCCTCTGTGTTGTACAGTCTTCAAAGCATCTATGGTACCTTGATACGTCAATGGGGTAGTCCACGTAAGGTGCTGACCACGAGGTGTGACTTCGACGTTAGCTACCTTATCACACCATTCACGTCTAACTCGAGTAGGCCTCCAATCATTTCGACATAGATCATCTACCTTGGTGATCTACAATGGAATCAGTTCATGAAGTCACTGAAAACTGGGCATAGCCATGGTAATAGGTACGGACCATCCAGTTGCGATCTCCGTGATTATCGTAGCTAACGGTTAGAGACTTTGAATGGCGTAAATCAAAATCGTCTGCAGTGGCGCAGGTGCATCCATTCTTTGTCTTCCTACAAATCGTGAGATTCTAATTTCCTCATAACGTTTTTTGTGCTTGTCTCACTAATTTGTTTTCGTTTAGAGTCGTATCTTGAATGCCTAATTTTTCCTATCACATTTGATACTGTTACTACCTCTGCTGTTGATGGGCTGTTTTGCTTCGATGTTCGATAAATTCAGTGAGGCTGATCCATTGCAAAAGGCGCTCCGAACACTTGTTCCTCTGTTTCACAATCTCAGTGATCTGCTATCTTTCTGTTTGTGACTAGTTCTTTCTCTTCACCGAATTCGCCTCTAATTTCACCGCTTAATAATACGGTTGTCTCATGACGGACAGTAATCCTGTAATGGCTAGGAGCGGATTATGAATCTGATTGCGAACCTCGACAGGGCGTGAACTAGTTGTATAATGCTTGAGCAAACTAAGTTGATGATGAATTGATAGAGTATTTCCCACTAAGTGAAGCACCGTTTCTTGTAATTTCATGTTTGATCATTAAGGAACATCTGGTCATCCTAACAACCCTCTTATGAAGAGTGTTAAAACAACTCCACTAAAATCACTCTGGTATGTAGCACATGAAGTCACTGTTACGCAGCTACATGTACTGGGTATTGATTGATAAGGACATTGAAAGTTTGGTCGGGAAGTGTCCACGGTGTGCTCAAGCCATAAAATCGCCATCGAAAGTACAAATACCCCCGCGGATAAGTATAGAAAAATCATGATCCTGTGTTCATGATGATTTCACTGGACCAATCAATCATCAACTCATTGAAATAATGGATGGAGATTTTCTTAGTTCCTATAACCTCAGCGACATCACGAACTAAGGTGCCAAATAGGCTTTCTAGGGAATTAGTTTTTTTCGGAAACAGTAAATAAAGTCAAAGGACCTCAGTTTACGTTGGAAATCCTCTTGAACTTCTACCCAGGAAACGCTCTTATATACGTTCAGTCACCATCCTACTATCCCTAGTCAAAAGGTCAGGCTGAGTGTTTATTAATGCTTTCAAGAGGGCTCTCATCAAGTCACAAGATGAAGGCACGTGGAAGGTCGTCCAGAATTTCTTTAGGGCATACAGGACAACCCTGAATTCAGTTCTATCAAGGGTTTCTGCCCATTTGAAGCAACGTCTAAAAGGATCGTACTTTATTTGACTCATAAGAGCTGCACCATAATCACTGCTGGCTGCACTCCACGAGTGCTAACGGATGATCCAGCATATGGTTGAATCCTGTGACAAAATATGTATGTACGTGTAAAACTATAGGCGAGTAGTGTCTAAGGCTTTACAATAAATTAAAAATGAACTGTACTGCTTGGAGTTTTCCGTTTGCACCAGTTGACGAACATGTACCTTTGGCGACAGTGTGTGGGCCTGAATAAGCACGCAATTCATTTTCAATTAATTTCCATACGAATGACCTTGAATACACGAGAAGGACACATTACAATCTTGTCGTGTTCGTGTTATGCTAAATGATAAATACAACTTCAGGACACATTCTACACGCTTTAATCTCTTGTTCGCTTGCAAAACAGTATCTAATTAGGGCTTCATATGCACACAACTCTCCTACACCACACTCTGATGTAAAAAAACTGACTTTGTCGTATCCAGAGTAGCTAGCTTACACGCTGTTAATGATTCTAGAATCTTCGTTATTTACGACACAGGTGGTGGTTTTTCTGTTAAACTCATCCTTCACACATTTCATCACATTATCTAATGAGGGCATTTGTTACAATGGAGGTGGCAAGTTTTCCTTCTCGTCACCAAATATTCGTCTGCCAAACGGATCACATATAGTAAATTTTGAAAAAACACGGATGGCTGTGAACCATCTTAAAGATTTTTATGGAATACTCTTCACCACGCAAGGCTATTCATGATTTAGATTGATAACAATGATACTTGGATTTGTTGCCCACATATATCCGAACGGTTACTTAACAAGTACTGCGCGTTGTAGGTTTTCTTAACACGATTGTAGATTTGGAAGCAACAAATAAATGCCTCCAGCGTTCACTACGACCTCTTCTACTTCGTTGGTGAATGTAATGAGTGCATTTCACCGGAGCTTATGAAATTTTTACTTCTCTTAATCGTTGGTAACCATTCAGGTCATGTACACATTCCTCCCAACTATAGAACTATTGAAGGCGCAAGCGAATTAGAGACAGCGTTTCAACTAGTCGATGTATTTAAGTGCAAGTTATGTTTGTCTGTGTATTTGCGATCCACTGCTACTAGACAAGGAAGTCCGTTAAGCGAAAGCTTCTGTTTCGTCCACAACCACTTGAACATTATCCTTATTCAATAGCGCGAAACACAGGTTGCGCGGTACATCCCAGTGTCTATGATGTTCTAAACATAACTCGGCCGCAGTATCTCTCACCGCTGAAAATAACAAAAATTGATTTTCACGTCGCGGATGTCTGAGGTTAGTTAATAACTCTCTTCCAATCTAATCCAATAGTCTGCTTGTGACTATCTTAAAAGGTTTCTGTCTGAGTGAGTTTTTTGTTTATTTGACCATATAAATAGAGTTGATGGAATCCTCGGTATCTTTGTTGCGGATAAAGACGGAGTCGTTGTTGCAAGTGGTAAACTTAATTTTATCATCAATGTTATTTCCTAGCCACAATGGATGATATGCCTGATCAAGCACGCTCACCATATGTTACTGCTGCTTTTATCGTATCATTACAACAAGTAAACAAACTAGATCTTGGAGACTTAGAATGGATGATCACTAGCTATCAAGAGATGGTGGTATGTCTACTGGAAAAACTTTGCTATTCAATTAGACCCAGTTTGGCGGTTTCATGTAATGTGTATATGTGTATCTAGGATGTGCGTTGCGTCACCCTAACCGCATATAAAGATCTTGTCAAAGTGTGTATGAAGGATATATACATAGTTTGGCTCATGGAGAATCTGATACAACTGGGGGTCACAATAGTATGCACCACACAAAATCATAGCTTTTTGTTAGGGCCGAGCTACTCTTTGGGAGCCCAATTCAAAGGATATAAATCTTTTGAAAAACGATAGTTGTTTTACCTGATTGCATCCCCAAATTGTTTGACTTTAAGCCTTGTCGTACAACAACCCTGCTCAAATCAAGTGAAGTTAGGTATAAAATCAGAGGCATATCAGTAAGTGGTGGTCACTCATAATATAATAAAGTTTTGTTAGTTAGACTACAAAGCCACTTCATAACTGAAGTATGTATTTATTGCTAGACATCAGTTAACGATAACGTTTGCATGTGTTTTGTCCACTGCACATTGAGAAATAACATCCTGGTTACCTAACCGGTTGCAAACATGCTCACGCATACTGTCACAGTGTGACGCACTAATTACGGGGACCATTGAACTGTGTTGTAATCCACATTTGCATAACCTCGTTAAGGCAAGACTGCTACACTAATTAGCCCATGTTAAAAAATAATACCGCAACTTTAATAGTCTAGAATGTCTCGTTTGCTAGTATATAATCAATACTTCCCGATTTTTAGATCTGCCAGTTTCATTTTACATGCCAATCAGCTTTACCATTATTTCTGACGGTTGTTGGCTCCAGTGAATGCAATATAGGTGGGTTTACAATAAAGTAAAATGATGCTTAATGTTTATTTAACGAGTCATATGAAGAAGTATTGGCATTTAATAACATTAAGATTGAAAGAAACTACAAACAAGGAGTGGCTTAGGATCGATAACGACGTAATGAGCATATTGAGGACGGCATTACCATATGCTAAGAAAGGGTTAAACATTTGCAACGTCTTGACTAATTTTGAACCATGGAATCCGTTGTCCGCAAACACTGAAATACCATACCACTTGTACTCTCACCAAGAAACGCTATAGTCTACGCAGTTCATACTAACAGTCTCAACGTTAGTAGTAAGTCTCGATCTGCTCACCTTTCATACCTCACCCAACTTGAACCCACTCCAATAAACAGGAACAGGTTGGGTTAGCATATTCCAGCCATCTCATTTATAGAATTTAATCCCTTATCGATTGCATCATTTTTTGTGTATAACTCTATACATGACACCAGTTAAGTCTACTTAATAATTATATTACATTTGGTAATACCTCAGATGACGGTAACTATGCTAAAAGGTTCTATCTCACATGACTCATTATTAGGTTGTCACTTATTTATTTCAACATAAACATTGGTACAAGAGGGCACCAAATGCATATGTGCCACACAATAACAATAAGACCAGTAGTAGTTATCATTGATTTGTGTGAGGGCTGTGATACTGCCTGGATGCTCAAACCGAAGGTGGGTCTTTTTAAGGGACCACACCCAAAGCCTTTGACCTAAAGATATCATAAACAACGCAGTAGAGCAACGTTAGGAGGTGCAGTCCCATGGTAGCCAGTGACCAACGATTGGTTCATATGCCATTCACTATCTTAGAATCCTGGAGTCTATGTGAACCATTGGTTTGGAATCAAAGTTTACCAACTCCCATAGATAGAACCTCCGTGTCTACCAACCCGGTTAAAGCACCGGACATCCAATTTTGATCCTCTTGATTTGGTAAACAACATCGTTGAGAAAAGGCAGTGAGTAGGACTCCCCTAGTAGTGGCTGTATATGCGTGGCTATGTGAGAGCTGGCTTTCCCCACGCGTAGTCGCTCCAGGGCACTTGGGGGCCTTTAGGATGTTATTTATGGCTAACAAACTAGACTTCACTATTATCTCTTTTGTGCCAGCTACTGAAGCGATCTAGGTGTAAATATGAATAAGTCGATTGATATCAACAGGGCTGTCGATAACTAAAAGTACAACGCAATGTTTTGTAATGGAACTAGAGCAATAAAGATAGATAGAGGATGTTTGGTTACCTATATCTCCCGAGGTATCGGTAGTATTCGGCTAGTACAAAGGCTTCGTCTTTGTACTCTATCTAAGCAGAGTAAATAAGTTGAGTTTTGGTACCATAATGTCAGAATATACCACCTAGATTACTGGGTTTATGTTAGACGGGTGATGATCTAAACAAGACGCGACATCCGTTTGTTACTTGTTGAGTTATCTATACAAGTTGTAACTGTGTCCCAAAAGCTTCACAATCCTTGCCCAAAGATTATCTAGTGTAAGCTGTCCTAAATCAGTTGAAAAACAACTGTCTAGTTAACATATAATATCAAAAGACTTTTAAATGTAATAAATAAAATACATCGCACTGCTAAATGATCGTATAAAACTATGATTTCGGATGTAATCCCATTCGTGCGACAACTTTTTATCTAATCACATTTCACTTATTGTCTATTATTTCAGGAGCTATAATCGCACTTGAACCATCCATTCGTCCGTTATTAAATCGTTTAGCCCCGGAAGCATCATCAAGAATACAGAATGAGGCTATGCTAAGCCGTACCACAAATGGTCCTTATTTTCGAGTATAATACTCATTAAGTTTTGGGATTATTTTTCGGAGCCGATTTTTTAGTTGTGTAATTTATCTTGTATATTAATCAGAAACTGTACAATAATACTATTAAAATTTGCACATTTTATTTCTGTCTTGTTAATTCCTCAATGTAATATTTTGCATACTTGTACTAAGTTATCCCAAACTATATGATTTGTAGTAAAGGTTTTGGATATAAACAGCCGACCAAACCTATTTGCAATTGATAAGCATAAGCAGTTCAGCACGCACTATAAAATAATACTAAGTAGGTTATATCACAGTTTATTATAATTATGTGTAGATAAGCTTACATTCAAACCTAATATCGAATAGATATGAATTGGAGTAAACACTGCATATGGACAGTGACGCTTAGAAAATAAACCGTAAAATGTGTGAGATTCATTTCAAAGAACACATTTTGTCGCAAAAGTATGTTTATTAAAGCGGTGGGTTGATAAAATGTTGGCGATGTTAGATCTCTAGAACTCGAGGTAAATATCTTATTTTTATATTTTGAGTTTTTTCGCGCCAAAAGCGCTCATTCCATTTTCATTTCCCACACTGGTTCGTTGTCTCTTCATATGCTATTTTGTAACGTTTCCCAAGGATATTTTTCATGCTGTATATATGCGTTTAAGTTGTGCTTGTTGTTCGGGCTTCTGACTGCTTGTGGAATACATTCCCCTCTTCTGAACCTGAACTCCTCTCTTTAGTTAGCGAGACTGGGATGCATCGGAATAGTTAACTTATTTGGTCCTTGTGAAACTGAGTCTTCGTCCCGTTCGCAGATTAGGTGAACTCGTAATCTCTTGAAACACAGCATAAAATAAATAACGATACAGAATCGCTAGACTAGATTTAAGAAGTAGTTGACGCTTTTCGAAAGACAAGGTATTTATTGTAGTACTAGAAATGTATCGTATAGTAAAATTTACTGAATAATTGAAAAATAAAACAATATCAACATTCGCGTTATCTATGAACAGGCATTACTTGGCGTATATTCATATTTATACGTGTAGTCCTAATATATGTTAGACACTCTTGGCAGTGTGTACACGCATCATCATTATGATCTTGCTTTAAAAATTTTTCACAAATATCATGACTAACACGAAGAGCTCCTTTCGACACAACCTCTGTATCATCATCGAAGAAAATTACTGGGACTGCATGACGAGCCAGACGACTTTTACCAGCCATTATTACTACATCACCATGACAAAGGTAAATCGGTAGTACGTGGTCATAGTCAACTGCTCGGTTAAAACTCCCATGCAATGAAACGTCGAATTCATACTTGATGGCTTCTGATGTTTCTAGTAAGAATAATGCAGTGGGTCCAACGCTGAAAAAGGTAACAATAAACGTGATTATTCTTTGAAAGACAGATGTTTACAGAAGCAATCGTTCAAGTATTTATCTCAAACAACGATTATAAAAATGGATAACCCAGAAAGTCCTCTACACAACAATTTTTAGATAAGAGCTTCAACTATGATTTGTGCTCTGACTGAATGAGAAATAATAATGCATCTAATGAGAATAAATAAGTAATATATTTGTAATATCCCAATGAGTAGAAAAATTAGATTTTCTACTCATTTGGATATTACAAATACATTATTTATTTATAACAATATACCCGATGCTAAATTTATTGGAAATTATCAAGCCAAACCATGGTAATAATACCTATCTAATGAGAATGTTAGCAATCATGAAGATATGGCCGTTCTAATGGTAGTTTTTATCCAATACTATGATGCGCCTCACTGCATATAACTGAATCGATAAACAAACAACCAGCGGTAAAAGGAACAACTTTGACACACATCTCATATTGAAGAATAAGTTATCAAAATATTGAACGGAGTGAAAGTTATTTTGGAACTATACTATCCCGGAATAATAGTGTGCTTTTGGGATAAACAGATTTTCCCACGTAATCCTGTGTTCAAAATTTGGCATCCTAAGAATGAGCAAATCTCCCAACTTAATTAGGCATTACGGAGACTAAATGGATCTAGTAGTTTCCTACTTTCCTGGAACTAGAGATATGTACTGTTTAATACATGGTTAGCAGTCTAAAGACTACGTACAGCTGGAACTTTTACGGTCCTATCTCTAACAACTCTATGTGAACACTGCTCGGTCTCGTGCCAGGAAAGGACAGTTGTTTAGTACTTCTTGATTGTCTAGCTAAAATTCATCCATCTTGTAAACTAATTTTGAAAAATCAAACGTACTGTCAAGTTATTCAAGAGCAAGCGTATTGTTGACAGCTGACTAACAGTTCGAGTAAAAAGTTACAATGGTCTACGATACAAGGTGAAATTCACACAAGACGAACAAGCGAGAGGTATAACGAAACCTTAAGAAAAGTCGTTGGTATGATACACATGAATTTGAAACAAAGTCGACTGTAAATTTCCTTTTGGTATTGTCAGTGTTTAGTTGTTAGCTTAATATATTCGCCTGTTGGTTAGTAGAACAGTTAGAACCGATTCGGTTAAAGTCAGTTGCCTGCAGCATGAAAGACATTTCAATTTGCTCAAGCACTAGTAAAATATTAACTTTACTGATCAATTTATAGTTTAGTTTGATGTCATTATTGTTTAACACAATCTTACTGGCGGAAACCATACAAATTATGCATGAACACACTGACCTTCTCCCATTATCAAGGGATGATTTCAACACAACTCTTATTAATATGCACCAAAGATGTATGATTTCATTTTTTAAAATTTGTATCACCAAGTTGACAGAGCCGCTGTGGGGAAGGAGTTCGTCCTGCCTAGTCTTAAAATATATTTCTGACAGCCTAATAGGAGCCAACAATTATATAGCACACGAAACACACCTAACCAATCTAAAATTGCTAAACATACTGAAGTACTTCTACACTTACCTAATCGAAACCAAAGGAGCTTCCTTATCTATTTCTGCATCATCAGAATGGAAGCCCATGGTTGTTTTTGTTCGATAATAGTTCACAATTGACGCTTCTGGAGTGTAATTTCGGCACTGTTCCAAAAGACGAGATGAATTCCTAGAAGAAATCTCTCCTTCTTCAATTAAATGCTTAAGGAAGTTGATAATGTTTACTGTAGTCCCATACAGCAACGATGGAAATTCACCAACTTTAGATACATTGTAAATCTGAATATAGTATTGGGGAAATTTTTTAGCTGGTATAAAATACTGCTGTATTAAAAATGTCAAGATTCCAATCAAATTTCATGTTGGACAGTAAACTCTAAATATGAAAGAGTTAACTGTTTAAGCGACAACAATTAATATGATAATGTAGGGGAGTTGTGTTTAGAGGATATTTGGAAACCGATCGAAACTATGGTTTTAAAATGTTTCTGTTAAATATGAATGACCATTTTTGATATGAAATTATTTAAATTTAAAGAACTTTAGGGTCTTCAATATAGCTGTTTTACCAAGTACAGGTTTATGTATTCGGCTTTATTTTACATAGTTTGTGTGAGTTTGGTATGATTTAATTGACTCATTCACCAGGCGACTGGGTATGAGCCACACTCTGAGTGTAAAAGATAGTAATACTACCTGGTCACCCATGCCAAAGTAGGTGAAGCGAGGATCGTATGTGGGACTTAATGGTTGAGTGTGGCGCATATGTATACGGTGCCTCCTTGCATCAATATTTATGTGTTCAGATAAATGGTTGAGAAACAACTGTTTTAGCCACTAGGTCATCGTTTCAAAAAATTCCGCAACATCCAGTGTATCCCTAAGCCAATCGCCTGTGGGAGTGCTAGCCCTACATTGATTAGCTTAAGTGACAGCTTGGGAAACAATATTTGTCTTCTCGACGTAGCTTGCTTATCAACTCATAGCTGCAGAACATTTGGTTCTATACCCTGTCGTTACAAAACAACTTAACTTGCCCAGACACCATAGTGACAGGTTTCTTTCAAATGAAACAGGGTAAGTTACATAATACAAACAGTTTGTATTATTTTAATAACTAGACAATTAAAGCGTTACAGAAGTAGTATTATTGGGTCTTCTTCTGATCTAATTTTAATAACATCTGCAATGACTGAGTTGCAAAATCCCTAGGGACCTCTCAACCCTATCTCTGGAGACATGATGAGTTGGAAAATGCTAATAGAACCTTGTTCTGTGGTGTCATCGCAAAAATTGACTGTTTTCAGTCACTCGTGATCAATCAGATATAATCACTTTTATATTTTCCAGCAATAATTTTATGTCATTTAGTTCATTGCCTGGAGCTTTCAATGTACTACGTTTTTGTATCGTAAATATAAATAAATTTATATTCACGAAGGCCCACTAAAATCTTTAGAAAGATGACAGGAATATATAGACATATATGTTACTGCTCAAACTGAACTGTAAAATACTAATATTAGCTTATTAGATATTTAATTTAGAAGACAAATTTCAGGAAGTTTAAAACACTACTTCACAAATTGAAACCATTCACATTTTTTTAAAAAGAGTAAAAATGCAGGACTTAAAAGAACTAGTTGCTTGAATTAGGTGATATTATAGACAAGCTGGACTACATAAAGAACTTTGGTAGTATTGGGATTCGACTGAATAATATGTTGAATGACAGAAGACAACGTAAACGGAAATGGGGATGATCAAACAAAAGTAAACAAAGAATAGTTTTGGAGGTTGTCAAGATAATCTGTGATTTTGTATAATCTAACGCCGGTTCGAGATGTCACAATTATAAATAGCAAGAATATGTAAGAAGCTCCAGATTATAAACATGAATTAGGTCAACAACAAATGGCTTCGTAGTTAAAATTAGACCAACTCATCCACCACGTAATTAATTATGATCTACAGACGAAGTATGATAGCTAACGATACTACCCGATTACTCGAACAGTGGTAGAAAGGGCGGAGTTTGAACCTGGGTCTTTGTGATCAAAATTTGAACGTCTTAACCATTAAGCAACCACTTTATAATATTTTACTTGGCCCAATATTACTTTACACAGAACAGCCGAGTTATTTATTTACTTAAAACGTTCTGGTACAATAAAGTAGCCAGAAAGTGCGCCACCAGGATGAAGTGACATTACGAAGAAATAGAGGGAATAAGAATACAATAAATAAATGAAAAAAACAGCATTTGGTAAAATGTACTGTTTAGTTAAGGTGACGGTTAAGTAATGCTTCTTCCAGATGAGGAAGTCCACCTCAATCTTATGAAAAACGTGGTGAAACTGTAACATGATGGCCACTGGTACCTATGCTGGGTCATATTTGCTTATTTCTTAAGCAAAGGAGTTGCACGACCTCTGGTGACTAGATCGTGAAGTTGTCATGGATCAAGAGGAGCCTGTCTAGTGCAGTTATCTTTCATAATATGGCACCGTGTCATAAGCTGACAACGCCTAGGCTTTTTTCATTTAGCCCCAGCGTCCGAAAGCGATGCGCGATGTAGGAGCCTCAGGGAAGACACTCATGTAACACGACCAAGTCACCGAAGTCAGTGTTTCAAGAGCAGACCTTTTACAGGCAGACTAAAATCATAACGGCCCTTAGGATAGTCTAGGTTAGTATATTTAACTCAGTCAGTCAGCTACAACGTAGGACCAGGCACATATGTGCATCGGTCCAGGTTGCCATACCTCATTAGCACAACAAGATGAACACCGGATTCATAGGAGTGGTTAGGTCAAAGGTTGCAATAAGGATATAGTATAGGAAGGAAGAATTAGTTCGTAGAAAGAAAGATATGAAGTGATTTAATCTCTTAGTTTAAGGGAAGACAGGGAGTGTATACACCGACGCCATTGTGATCGATTCTGAGCCATGTCACCAAGAGTCTCCAACCATTGGTTACGATAGTCACGCGGACCCCAACCAAGTAGTCTGCATCTACCAACATGGCTCAGACTAGAAGTTAGTGACTTCAAGCACTGATGCCACGTTTTGGTTTGGCCGCCCCTAACTTTCTTCCAACCAACCCCTACACCGGTTAGCATTGCACGTCGTGGTAATCGGTGTTCAGGCATACGTAATACGTGGCCCAACCATCTCAGTCGATGAAGATTCATAACCTCATCAACTGATTTACCGTCATTCCCTAATACCCTGCGTCTAACCTCACTATTACTTACCCGGTGATCCCAGCAGATGCCAGCAATATTTTTAAGGCATCTGTGGTCAAATACTTGTAGCTTACGGGTGTCTTCTACTCTTAAAGGCCATGTTTCGCTGCCGTAAAGTAAGACAGAACGGACTGCCGCGCAGTATACTCGTCCTTTTATTGATAGACGGATATCTCGCCTCCGCCAAAGGTGACGTAAGTTGGCAAAAGCCAAACGAGCTTTTCGAATCCGTGCTGAGATTTCGTCAGACACCAACCCATTAGGGCTGATCAGACTTCCAAGATAAGTGAAGTTGTCGACGCGTTCGACTACTTCACTCCCTATCCTTAGTTCAGGTGTTGACGCAGACCAGTCCTGAAGCAACAACTTGCATTTAGAGGGAGAGAAGCGCATCCCAAACATTCTGGCATTGTTGCTTAGTGCTACCAGAAGACTCTGCATTTTGTCAGCGTCTTCACCAAACAGGACTATATCATCTGCGTATTCTAAGTCGATAAGTGGACCTCCTGGAAGGAGATCAATACCCGAGAATTCAGTCGACGAGAGTGTATATTTAACTATGACCTTTTCACTGACATGCTACCACCAGCACTAATATAACTAACCAAATATATGAGTTTTCAACTATTTTTAACGGATCACCACAAAGAGTAAGTGGGAACACAGGCTTCTGACAGTTTGCAAAATTCTTTTGCACTTAAAAAATATAAAGTATATGCCGACCGTATAACTAGCATATTATTGTACAGTGAGACAATGTCATCTGCGTACACAAGATCCCAAAGTCTTTCTCCAGGTGACAGGTCTACACCAAAACCATTGTGCGCTTCCCTAAGAGTTATTTTCAGAATATTATCGGTAGTAAAATTGAAAAGTAGTTATGCGATCTATCAACCCACCCTATATAAAATGTGGATTAAAATGTAGTGAGGTGGTTGGATATGTTCACTGTCTGAGTTATTTGGACACAGAGCCCTCAAGATGTTAATAAACTTTTTATGAACTTTCTTCTTCAGCAGACAATCTCAGAGAAAAGTCCTATTCAATGAACCGAAGACTAAACAAGAAATACTGTAAACATCTAACACTGTTTAGTATTTAAAAGCCGTATTTATCGTAAACAGATATGACAATGATAAAACAAACACTTACTCTTTCGCTCCACTGATAGTGATAGCCTAAAGTTATCCAACGGAGTTTAGAATACCATGGATCAGTACAAGTAATCCCTATCGCATAAGTTGTGAAAATGAATAACATACGATTATTATGAGACACATTTGTGCTCAAATTACATTGAGCCGTCGGCGAGTGACACCATTCTGTCAGTGCAGCAAGCCATAAATCTTTAATTTCAATTGGACTGAAGAAGTTCTTTATTATGAAAAAATCTGTTTGATTACATAAATGTATATGGTATAAACCCACCTTCGGTTGGTATAGTCTGCACTGAACAATCTGAACGTGAATCCGGCAACCTAGTGAATACTGCTTCCTGTTACCGAGAATGATTCGACTATCTGCATACCTTGAAAGTTGAGTCAGTGTATCTCCGTATTTGTTCGCGAACATCATGTGTATAGTTTAAGTGTTTGTAAAATTTGAAGACATCCTTTAGATAGGTACTTTGGTCTTCGTCAGAATATGCCATATAAATAATGACTTCTAAACTGGATTCAGAAAGCGATCTAATAAAACATTTGTGAGATAAATAGACACGTACTAAGTAAAGATAACAAAAATAAAGTCAGCATATGGCATGTTAAGCTTAACAAACCTAGTAGTTACTGAATGAAGAAAAATCTGAAACGGCGTGAAATTTGTACAGAAATGACGCTTAAACACGGAGCATTCAGGTCTCACTTCATTATGGACTAGGATTTTATGATCGATTTTACAGAATGGCAAAAACTGAATATTTGTGAATTTACAGTGAATGTAAATGAATTTCCAACATTTTGCAGGGTTTTCCAATGACATAAAGAACATTTTGCAGACATTGATATAGTATGTAAGACAATATTAGCGCGAAAATGGTTCTAAAATTGAACTCTATAATTTATTACTGTCAACAATAACTGTATAAAATCTGCCATTAGCCTCTTTATTTGCACTTTGTAGAAGACGTCACTTATCTAATCCCACAGAAACTTTTCAACTCGAGTATCAAACTCTGCGATAAGTATGTAATACCTTAAAATTAGAAGCAGTTCATATTAGTCAATAAACCATGTGATAGTGGATTCTGAGAACCCGCTTAAACTATTAAACTATCAGACGTGATCAAGTATAATAAGATAGGACCGAATACGAGGAGTACAGATGATTTTGATTGGCAAACCCACGATTCATGTTCCAACATTGAACTACAAACCTCTGTTGCAAATGATTTATGATGGCTAAAATCTTATAACTATAGTTAAATTAAATTAAATCCCGGGATTTAATTCTAGCAGGACAGATAAAAAGAATCAAACCGGTTACATTAAACGGTGACCACTGGGTAATTGGAGGAAGTCTATGCAAATGATTGGGTACAAGCAACGGGATTGGAACCATAAGCAAATAGTGGCTTAAAATGACCTCTTTTCTGTTTCAGCGACCTTGAACGGCTTGTTTCAAGGTGATCATCCCATATTTAGAACATTTCGGGTCTGTGGCGTTTTTTTAGACTAGCTTGGATTGGCAGTGTATCTTTAGGGAACTTCTTTATTTCAGAAAACGCCGAATGACTCGTAGATAAGTGTGTAGTATCGGTCACTATATCAAGCCCACATAGCATATTCTAGCTCTCCGGATCCGGAGAGACCAATTTATTCATTCTTCTTGAGTCACATTTTGACCCTATCTATTACTCGCTTATCAATCTTGACTTCTTTGCATAAGCGTATGTGTGTGCATTATCTTACTCATCACATGGCTGTACTAATTTTTGTCGGACTATACATATCGATTAACCCTTGGTTAAACCGAGTTGACTAACACGTCTCCTCCGATCCGCTTCGATTCTCTCCCTCCTATTCGCTTCTTTCGCTACATCTCTCTGACTGTCTGTCTCAATTAACGATTGCACCAAAATATACGTATTCAAGCCTTCATTCTTGTACTTATGGTGACATATATTCAGTGATTTTTGTAACAACAAAAATAAAAACCACATTTTTTCTCTAATTTGTCACACCTTATTTGTAACCACATTTTTATTCAATATCTGTTGTTTTGCTGTATCACTTGTTAAAAAAAGACGATGATAATTGTTTCGATGAATGATATACACTTCTTCTACCGGGTTGTTTAAAAATATAGAACAATACCTACGCCGTTTGTTCTTCTGTTTTATTGGCCACCGTTTTGATTGAAGACTATAATAGTATTATAACATCATTATAGGCCTTCCGACTCAACGTTGGACTTTTGGCACGGATTACTATTGTATAATACTATTGGGCTCCGTCTTCCTCATTACGTCTTTGGTGCAGTCACTTGCAGAGGAACACCTGTCAACCAAGTGAACTCAGTTTGTGGTCGTTGTCCTCACGAGGCAGTTAACAAGTAACATTCATTCTATAGTAACTGTAAGCGTCTGTTTTGTTTAATATACCTTTTGTATTGCTAACGGTATTTTATTACCTTTGTTTTTACTAACGGATAGACATCTAGGTTTCTTAATCAATAATTTGTTTTGGTATATCATTGTTAACCTAGTGTATCAATATAATTTGTGTAAGCTCCTTTTGTTTGGGGACCACCACATACTTAATTCCGTCATTTACCAGTGCGACTTAATTCGACAATTATATGTGTGGATTGACGACGTGTATGTTTCCATAACAATCTAAGACTATCTAATTCAAGTCAGATATCACAGTCACTAAAGGTGTGTCGTATGTTTCTGTCTACCTTTCAGGTAAAGAAGACTACTCTGTTACACCTTTTAATTAAATACATATTATACCAGAATCACTTTGGGAGTGGTTTGTATGTAATATATATATTCTGAGTGAAAATATAAGTACAAGAACAGTAAATCATCCAGCAAAATATTTGAACTCACCTGGATTATTTTCGGAATTTAGATTATTCATTAGACTTAAATGAATGAGTCCAGATAATTATTTGGCTGTCATTGTATGAACCATCTAAAATGACCTTATGATTGCAGAAAATGTTTAGCTTAAATTCACCGTATGTTTCTGAAGTATTTTCTTCGTTGTTTGTCAATGGAACTCAAGAATGGGAAATTAGGCAGACAGTGGTCGGAAGGAAAGATATTACAGGATAATCCATAGTTTGGAACAGTGAAACGTTAAGCGAAGAAACAATATGAAGAATTAAATGAAGATGACCATTCAGTTCTTGCTCGCATCGCTGACCAATGTCTATTTACGTTGTCGAAAGGCCATATTTGCTAGAGCTTGATGTTTTACCAAGCTTATTTCGCTGGAGCATGTAAATGCTATATAATATTCTAATTATAGTATGAACTAGGAATTCCAGGACTAACGCAATTGAACTAAGAAGACACAGGCACAAACGAATGTATTGTATTTAGAATTCGAAATCAAGTATTCAACCAGTACCAAGGTATCATTGGTTCATTCAAACACCACATCCGCCACAGCTTAAATTGGAGTCTAGGTGTTTATAATCAATCGTACGTCTTCTTCTCAAATTCATCCTGAGTCTGTCTGACATTGTATTGGATAAGGATTCTGTATTATCTAGAATATGCTCATTAGCATTAGAATTAACAATCGAAATTGGAACCGACTCACCTGGTTCCTGAAATTGTATTTGATCTACATGTCGACTGTGTGTACTTAAGTCATCGATGTCTAGAATTCGCACCATCGATTTTCCGACATTCTTCAGAACAATACCCGTAGATGGTCGAAGATCATTTCCTCGATAGTATGTAACCTCTGCAGACTCCAGACATCTCATATTCGACCGAAGAATTCTTCCTTTCAATAGCTTCGCTGGAGTCTCCTTCGTCACCGAATGTTTGGCATTTCTATATTCCAATAGAAAGGTATCTACTCCCCTCTCCAGCTCATTAAATGTTGAGGGGGCTATAGAATCAATAGCAGTCTTTAATGTCCTAACAAAATTCTCTGCCTGACCATTAGAACACGGATGTCTGGGAGCAGTAAATAGATGTTTGCACCCTATACCGTTCAATCAGGTAGTGACTGCATCTGCAGCAAAATGTGAGCCATTATCAGTCACCAACACCAAGGGAACACCTTCTCGACTAAACACCTTTCTTAATGCTTGTATTGTGAAATCAGAATTCGGTGAAATTGTGAAAAAAACTTCAGGCCACTTTGAAAAAGAATCAATGACTACTAGTGCGTAATATTTACCAAGAAATGGTCCACAATAATCAGCATGAATCCTCTGCCAGGCCTCAGACGATACTGGCCATGGCACCCACTTCGAAGGATGGTTTTTCAACTGATGACATTTCTCACAACTGTTTGCCGTACGACATATATCTGCATTTATCTCTGGCCACCAGCATGTGAGCCTTGCCAAGGACTTCATTTTCTCAACACCTAAATGACCACTATGAAGATCTTCAAGAACAGATTTACGCAATGAAGGAGGAATGACAACACGATCGTTTAAACACAGAATACCATCAGGAGTAGTAGATAACTCATCCCGCTTTGAAAAATAGATAGGAAATCTCCGTTTCAAATTAGCATTCCAACCTTTCCTTATAGCACTGAGTATACATCCAAAATATCTACGAGTTTCTCTAATGAGATCTGAACGTCTCACTGGTAAAGGTTGCACTAACAAACAATCCGAAGTATTAATAGGTTTATCTTGTAATGACTGTCGAGAAATGTAATCAACATGTTGAATCTGTTTGGCACTTCTGTGCTGAACCGTATAGTCATATGCACTCAAAGCAATACTCCATCGCTGAACCATAGCTGCTGAGGAACGTGCTAAGGATTTTCCGGGATGATAAATAAACTTTAAAGCTTCATGATCAGTAACAATAGTGAATTTCTTTCCGAATAAATATTTATGAAGTCTTTTAACAGCCCAAAACACAGCTAATGCTTCTCGCTGAGTCTGTGAACAACCTTGTTCAGTAACAGTAAGTTTGCGTGAAACACAAATAACTGGTCTACCTTCCTGTTCCAAAACTGCACCAATTCCCACAGGTGATGCATCAGTAATAAGCACAGAATGTACATTAGGGGAGTACGTTCGAAGAACAGCATCACTTTGAAGAAACTTCAGCAGACTTCGTAAGCATGACTCTTGTTCCTCACTCCATTTGAATGAATTGGATGTTAAAATATTAAATAAACAATTTGCACGACAAGAAAAATTAGGAATAAAACGGGAATAGTATTGAAGAGCACCCACTAGTGAACGTAATTCTGTAAGATTTTTCGGAGACGGTGCATTAGTCAGTGGAGCTAGTCGTTTCATATCTGGTCTAAAACCGTTACCATCAACTAGGTATCCAAGGCATTCAAAACTAGATACACAAAATGAACACTTATTTGGATTCACTGTTATATTCTTCTCAATTAAACGTCGCAATAAAGCAATAAGTCTCTGGTCATGAACCACCTTATTAGAGCCATGAACAATGAGATCATCTTGATAAACTTCAACACCTTCAAGATCACTAACTACTGTATTCATAACTTCTTGAAATATGGCTGGAGAACAACTTAGACCAAATGGAAGGAAATTGTATTTGAACAGACCAAAAGGAGTGTTAATTGTCGTCAAAATAGATGAAGATTCATCTAAAGGAATTTGAAGATAAGCATCTTTTAGGTCAACTTTCGAGAACACTTTAGAACCATGAAGTCGATTTAGAATATCTTCAGCTTCTACCGTCGTGCACGTTTGCTTCAACAAACGGGAGTTCAGAGTTAATCTATAGTCACCGCAAATTCTAGGAGTTTTGCCGTCCGACTTCAGTGGCGTAACGATAGGAGTACCCCATGCTGAAGACTGGATTGGTTCAATTATGCCTTTCACACACAAATCGTTTAATGTCTTATGTACTGCTTCTCGAAGACCATAAGGAATTATTCGTCTTTTAAGAAAGACGGGATCACCCTGTACTTGAAGTTTTATAGGCTTAATTTTCATACCTCCACTGCATTTAGCACACATAGCTATCAAATCTTTAAGTAAACTATCAGAATTTTCTTTAGAAACTAAGAAGGACAACTCCACCTTAAGCCTTTTCAAATTCTTTAAACCCAATATTGACAGTCCTGTTTCGCTAACTAAAAATTCACAAGGTATGTATGAAGAATTATCATCTCTGATTAGCAATTCACAACATCCTCGTATGGGCAGTCTGTGTCCAGTAATCCCCAGTATTGATACTTCAGTGGGTCGTACAACAACGTTAGGATCTAAAGCTTTCAAGTTCTTGAATGAAATAATGGACTCTATACTGCCTGTGTCCAGAATAAAGTCATGAAATGAACCAAGCGATGTATATAATCGCTTCTGAATATGAGCATTACCTTTCGAAATAGTGGACAAAGACAAATGATCACTAGAAACATCCGAATTATTGAAATTTAAATTACAAGA